ATCACCACCACCACTACCCCATCACCAACACCACCACCGTCGCCATCACCACCACTGCCACAATTGCAGCCGCCACCCCGCTGCCACCTCCATCATCACCACCACCGTCGCCATCATCGACACCACCACTGCCCCCGCCGCTGCCCCCACCACCACCACCGTCCCCATGCCCACCCTACCACCACTACCATTTTCTAAAAATGAAAACCGATAGAAAAATATACATCTAAACACGTTTTTTAATTTTCTAAAACTGAAAATGAAAAATTAATAAGTTTTAACTAAACGCGTTTTCTAAATTTTCCAATGAAAACCGAAAACTGAAAAGGAAAAACGAAAAATAGAAAATAAAAATTGTTTTTCGGTAACTAATCAAAAACAGGCTCCCTAAAATTCGATCACCGTGTTACTTAAGGGCGACAAGGAGGCTACCTTTGATCTTTGATATTAAAAAAAGAAAAATTCTTTCTGAAGCTTCAAATTGGAGGGAAAAGGTGAACACGTAGACGTGCGTACCAAAGTGAGAGATGCCGGTGGCGCGACCAGAGTCGTCCGATTCCAGGGTAATTGCTCACGTCGACATGGACTGCTTCTATGTTCAAGGTTTCTTCCTTCACTTCCCTTATTAGGTTTTCATCAAACTTCTCCACCGAAGTAATATTTGGGATTGTTTGTTCCTTTAATGTTCTACCTTTATTCAAAGAGTTGTTCTCCTATTCTTAACAAGGAAAATCGGGCAATTTCACTTCCCAATTCGAGAAATCGAAGACCCAACTGTTACTTATGTTCGATTTGTTAAATTTACTGGTGGAAATTCAATCTGATTGAGTATCAATGAATTTCATATAATCTGGTGGAAATCCAATCGTTCCTGAATTACTTGACCAATGTTTCTTCGTCTCTAATTCGTCTTCTCTTTCTAGTGGAGCAACGTAAACAACCTCACTTAAGAGGTCAACCAACTGCTGTAGTACAATACAACTCTTGGCAAGGTGGAGGCCTGATTGCTGTCGGATACGAGGCTAGAAAAGATGGGGTGAAACGGTAACATCTGATAATGTATTTTACGCCATTGATGACAAGTTTTTACAAAGTAAACTGCTAACTTCCAATTATATCCATGTTTCTTTTGGTATTAAGCTCAATGCGAGGTGATGAAGCAAAAAAAGTTTGTCCCCAAATTCATCTCATCACAGTTCCAGTAGCACGTGGTAAAGCTGACTTAAACATATACCGAAATGCAGGATCAGAGGTTCATAAATTTTAAAACTTTTGTCTGAAGAATTGTAGAGACTTGTGTAGTTAGTTAATCTTTCCATTTTTTCAGGTTGTTTCCATTCTTTCAAGAAAAGGTAGATGTGAGAGAGCATCAATTGATGAAGTGTACCTTGACCTAACAGATGCTGCTGAAAAACTATTGAAAGAAACACCACCAGAAAGCTCGGAAAGCATCCATGAAGAAGTTCTGAAATCGCATGTTTTAGGGCTTAATTCAGTAAGAACATTGCTCATAACAAATCTTGTAGTCTTTATTTCACAATATGGAACATTAACTATACAATCATCTATTCAGAATGAAGATGATAATCACAAAGAAATTGTAAAAGAATGGCTACAAAACAAAAATGGTGATCCTCATGATAAGTTATTAGCATGTGGAGCCCTAATTGTTGCTGAACTCAGACTACAAGTTCTACAGGAGACTCAATTTACATGTTCTGCTGGCATTGCTCATAACAAAGTATTTTCTTTTTTCCTTTTTTTTTTTGTATGAAAAACAAAAGATAAAAATATAAAAGTTATGAACTTAAACTATTCTTACAGATGTTGGCAAAACTAGCAAGTGGCATGAACAAACCTGCACAACAAACTGTTGTCCCCTTTTCATCAGTAAAAGAGCTTCTAGAAGCTTTACCTATAAAGAAAATGTATGTTTTTTCTTTATTATATAAATTATATAATCCATGTCTTCTATTTCTAAATTGAAAATGTTTATTGTTTATATACAATCAGGAAACAACTTGGTGGGAAGCTTGGGAGTTCCTTACAAGTTGACCTTGGAGTTAATACTGTTGGTGATTTATTAAAATACTCAGAAGAAAAACTTCAAGATCTTTATGGTGTCAACACAGGGTAATTAACTAATTAACTAATTAACTAATTAACTAATTATTATTTATTAGTAACAGAAAGTGTTACAAAATTTATTTTTTGTAATTTTTTAAAATCTATTTTAGTACTTGGCTATGGAATACTGCAAGAGGAATGAATGGGGAGGACGTTGAGGAACGTCTGCTTCCTAAAAGCCATGGTTCAGGGAAGACATTTCGTGGGCCAAGTGCCCTAAAAACACTTTCTTCTGTGAGTTTGAGTATTTCTCTTTCCTTTGACTTACAAGCTGGAATTGACTTATGATTTATGAAAATCATTTTTATAATTTTTTTAGGTTGAAAATTGGCTTAAAGAGCTTTGTGAAGAATTAAGTGAACGACTTCAGACAGATCTAGAGACAAACAAACGAATTGCACATACGCTTACACTGCATGCTGATGCATACAAGGTTGTTAACTGATAGCTGAAAAACTAACTGTTCTATGAAAAGTTTAGCTGACAGCTGAAAGCTAGCTTTTATGTGAAAAGTTAGCTGATAGCTGAAAGCTAGCTTGTATATGAAAAGTTAGCTGATAGTTGAAAGCTAGCTTTTATATGAAAGTTAGCCGATAGTTGAAAAGCTAGCTATTATATGGAAAGTTAGCTGATAGCTGGAAAGCTAGATTTTATATGAAAAGTTAGCTGAGAGCTGAAAAGCTAGCTGTTATATGAAAAATTAGCTGATAAAAAATGACGTTTGGTAAAACTAGCTGGAAGATGTAAAATGACATAAAAGGGCATTTAAAAGAATATGTTTCCTAAAATTAATTAAGGGGTATATTTGGAAAATTAGAAAAAAACTCCTAAAAGGCTAGTCTAAGTAACTTTTTAAAACTTGAAATATAAGCTAGCTTATCAGCTAGCTATGGCGCGTCGAACACAACGTTAATCTTTATAGTTTATACTTTATTTTTCTTGGTATTATGATTTTTTTTCTCTATAAATTCTTCTTTTTGCAGACTACAGATACGGATTCACACAAGAAGTTTCCTTCCAAATCATGTCCTTTGAGATATGGATCAGGGAAGCTTCTAGAAGATGCTGTAAATCTTTTTCAATGCGGATTACGTGAATATATGAGTCCCATGGGAAACCAATCTTGTGGGTGGAAAATTACTAGTTTGTCTGTTACAGCTAGTAAAATTATTGCTATACCATCTGTAAGCATACATTTTTTATTTTTACTCTGTTGTATATTAAATTATATATAAATTTTTTTTTGTATCTTTATGTTTGGTATTTTTGGAAGGGGACTTCTTCGATTACAAAGTACTTCCATTGTCAAGATCCTGGTGAAAAATCTGATCTTTTGTCACCGTTAAATGGTATTTATTATTATTATTATTATAAGTTCTTTGTTGTTAAAATATTTGTTACTTTTTGGATTTAATTTGGAATTGAAATATGTTTAGACTCTTATCAGAGTGAGCTGAAAATGGAATTTGGTGGGGAACAGAGTATAATTACACATGATGAAAGTGAAACCAGTTTTGATCGAATTGATTTATCTTCAGGTTCAATTTATTTATTTATTTATTTTAAATATAGTTTTTGTATTATCTCCTACCTTCATCTTAAAACAATACTCATGTAGGACATGAAAGCTGTTCAACTTCAAATCAAAATGAGCTACAACCAAAAGTATCCATAAAAGAAACAAAGATTAACTACCCTAACAATATTAGATCAAATGCGCATAAAAGAAAGCCAACAAAAGAAAAGGTCTGTTTAGTGTTTACTCACGACCCCCTTTAGTAAATTACAAAATTGCCCTTCCGAAAATGATAAGATTTTTTTTTTTTTTTTTTTTTTCGGAATTGTTACAGGGAAAAACGTCTTCCATCCTGAGATTTCTCCAACCGAACTCAAGTCAACATGGTCAAACTTCATCGGTTATAGAGGGTGGGAGTTTGACCAAAAGTCAAAATCGACTGACGACAAACACATGGGGTTATAATTTGGATGAAATTGATCAATCTGTGGTTGATGAATTACCACGTGAAATACAGGAAGAACTTTATGCTTTGCTTCCACGTAAGAAAGCAAACATGGTGAAACGAGGTTCTAGTATTGCTCATTACTTCTCCCCTAAATAGAGAAATCCAAAGTAAATGTAAAAAAGTTAAATTATGTCTTGTGATTTTTGTATGTATTTTGAGACATTTGTATTGTTTCTTGATTTTAATGGTTTTATAAGATTGTTGGAAGTGGTAAGAGTTTAAAGCCTTAAAGGTGTAAATATTTTCGGCTAAATATGGTTGGGCTTTTTTATTGTTTTTAAATTCGCATATGTTTGATTGGGCTTTGTATGTCCATAAAGATAAATGTGTTTTCAATTTTTCAATTTCTTTTGTTTACTTGTAATTTATTAATATCTAAAGTTATTTTTATGTATAAATAATTAGAATATGACAATATTTATTATTTTTAAAAAAAATTTCAAGGAATAATAGCAAGAAATCCCAGCATGATCAACGAAATCCTTGATCACAATCTTTTGTGATTTCATGATAAACATCATCAAACGAAATCCACAACTTTGTATAAAAAAACAATTTGTAGAAGGAGATGGATAGTAACGACATATATACCACCTAGTAATAAGATTTTTTTGAAGGAAAAACCAGCTAATAATATCGGGTTAACAAAAAAAAAAGTTCCAATCTGCATAAAATCTCAAATTGATTACTAAACAGACGTTTCGAGATAAATCGAACCAATATTTCTGTGCACCTCTATTATTTTGGGCCCTTTGATGGGTGCTCTTCATTATATCAAAAGTAAGCACGGAGAAAAACCATCAAATTTAACTATATATTTTTGACGGATTTTATTGATTAAACTAAGCGTTTACTATTAATAAAAACGACCTTTTATTTTACTTTTTTGAAAACTAACATCTTTTTTGGAATTAAATCCAAATTTAAAAATTTCATTAATTATGAAAATTCATAATATAGTTCAATACATATCGATTGAAGGCAAACGTGCAACAAGCTGCGCCGTTAGCCCTTTCTGGATGACAAAATCAATTCTTTTGAAAACAACATTTGTGGATCTAGGAGATATGACATTAGAATGCATGACCTGTTGGACTCTATTGAGGAGCTCCACCGCCCCTGGTGCAAGAAAACCAAATGTATCGAATGCAAAAGGCACAAACACATGATTTTCTATACATGCATCCTCGTGCTTCACCACTTTGCACGCGACGACTTTCAAAGCGGCCTGCCCAGCTGTGAAACCCCCACTCCCCAAACCAAAGAGAGGAGAGACCCCAGTAAGATCCACACACGCATGCTTCCCTCCTATCCATCCAAAGAGCAAAATGTCAGCCGGTCTAAGTGTGGACCTTCCATCCTGCGGGTCCGTCAAAAAGTTCACTGACGCTTCTTTCTTCACAGAATACCTGCACGCCGACAAGCATCAAATAGAACATCCCGAACCAAAGAAACGTGATCAAAACCTATTTGTACGGTACCAAAGGCGAACCCGCCTTAGGACCATGGCAAGCCCAGACCAACCCTCAAATTTTTAAATATCTTTTTGATTTTTAAAATAAGATATCATTTGGGTGCTTATGATATATGTTG